AGGTAAAATATAGGCCTTTATGTATGATTTATGTATTGATTTATTATGATTTACAGAGGATCCCGGAGGTACTGTCCCAACCAGGCCCCCCCCCCCCTTAGAATATACCAGAAATAATTGAAAGAAATGAATGAATCATAAACCTAACATACTGTGAATTGTTAACATTCTTTCATTACGCCATCTTTATATGATTGTAAATTTTATTTTCATATGTAGGCCTATAATTCGGGATTAGATCAAATTAAATCTCACTATATTCTAGCTCCTATTTTGTTTTCTTAAAAAAATATGAAGTTATGAAGTTGAAGTTTGACTTAAAATCAAATAAATTTTTTTTAAAGTGAATAAATTTGTTATACCTTATAGTAATATTGCACAGTATATAAACAATAAAAGGAAAATAAGTGAGGGTGTTTTAGCCTGACTTTAGTAGTACAGTATTCTCAGATGCAATGGAAGTGTTGAAAATACGGATAAACAAATAAACTTGCCCTTGAAGAAAAAATAAAAATATGGTACTTGTTTTCTTTGTTTATGTATGCTCTTTGGATTAATTTAGGATGCTGTATAAAAGTAACAATTCAGAGACTATTTACAACTTTTATTAAAACAAGTTTTCTTGCACTTTTACAATCAAAGAAATGATTGCTGGAAAGATCACATCCACTCAGGACATTACGAAATACTGAATGATACATTATGCCTTTTTGTAGAACAAACAGATTGGCTAATTCTACCATTCCCACTTTTGTCAAACTATTAAATAGTGAAGCCCAGTGTATTAATTCACCTTTTTTTTGGGTAAAATTTATATTTTTCTAGTTTTTAGATGTAGGCATAATTCAAAATTCTTAATTTAATTGTATAATACATAAGTTTTTTGTAATAAATTAACTTTGGTAGATAAGTATCTTTTTAGAATAATGCATATTTTGTAGCAATTAAATGTAAGTACAGTACTGTAATACATATAAATTTTAATTACAATTTAATACTTATAAATTTTAATTACAGTTTTATATAGACTGAATTGCTTGCCTGTAATAAATTTAATTTTATGTTTTTCTTGTATAATTAATTTATAATAAGTCATATTTATAATCCTTTTTGAAATGTTTTTGTCTAGGCCATAAATTTATTTCGTTTAATGTCTTGTATTTTTCTGCCGTTTATATTGTAAATTCAGATAAATTTCTACATTTTCTATGTTGTCTTCTGAGTGTTTTTTTTTTATACCAATAAATGAAATGATAACAATCTTGTATCTTATTATATTGTGTATATTGCAATTGAGTGTCCTAGTACTAAAATTAAAGCAACAATTGAATTTTTTTTAAGAATGTACTAATGTGTTACTTTTATTTGAACACATGTATGAACTAATAATCCAGTCTCATAATCAAATGAAAATCTTTCTTGCATTTGGAAAGCTACAACTTACATACTGGTCTCTCAAAAGGTTCAGATTTGGTAAGGTAAAACAAATATCAATTAAGTAACCCAAAACATAAAGTTATACACCAAAACCTACAGATGCTAAATTTTAATAAATTCACCCTTCTCAACATGGCAAGATGTATAAAATTATACTTTCTAATATACATCAGATTATTAAATGACAAAAAGTAAATGTAATTAAAAATTAAAACATGAATAGAAGGTACTGTATACATAA